GCTGAGGCAAGAGAATTGCTTAAGCTCAAGAGTTTGAGGTTGCTGTGAGCTGTGATGTTATAGCACTCTACTGAGGAAGACATCGTGAGATTCTGTCTCAAAAAACAAACAAATCAAAAAAAAATGGAACCTCAATTCTACAACCACAAGAAGATGAATTTGTCCAACCATCAGGACACTTAGAAGAGGATCCCGTGCCCTAGATGATGTCCACAGACCCGACCAGCACTTTGGTTTCAGCCCATTGTAATTCTGAGCTGAGAATTTAACCACGCATCTATTGGATTCCTGAACTACAAAAAAACCCCCTGAAACAAAAAACCAACAAAACTGGAGATAGTAAGTTTGTGGTGTTTTAAGCTGCTAACTTGTTACCTAACATTAGAATACAGACACAGGCAGCCACAACTCCCTATATATAAAAATGAATCAGAGAGGGAGCATACACTGGTATAGTGGATTGAACAAAAATGAGAGGGATATTAGTATTTACTACTAGAAACTATTTCAAAGGTACTTGTGCTGCGTAAGGCTAGTGTCCTTCTATTCACCTGCATGGTGAAAAACGAATTCAGTGGAATATGAATTCAGGACCTACTGGTTATACGGCACTCACTTGGATTCATTTGCAGTGACAGAGGAACATTTAGGTCAGTGGTTCTCAACCTTCCTAATGCCGCGGCCCACAGGTTGAGAACCACTGATTTAGGTAAACAGATAACTGCATTCTTTGGCCCACGAGAACTCTTGAAAGAAGTTTAAAGACAACACAGGGAAAAGCATGTGTTCTAAGTTAAATGACATCTGGATGAAGAGTACTTTGAAAAAATGTTTCATTTGCTAGAGAAAGAATATTTTTAGGAACTCTGATAGCCCAGATACGGTTACAGACCTTTGTCTCCTCTTCCTCTTATAAATAAAATTTTAGCTGATGTGATGAACAGAAAGAAAATCTAGGCTGTAACCAACAGGCCTAAGAAATGGCACAATATTAGCTGGGGGTGTGGGAGTGAGTATCCCCTTATGTCCTTGGGTTTTATTCCTACCATGAAACGGCAAAGATTAGCTATTTCTGATTTATCTCTCAGGTTGCCTTTTTTGCTCATGAACTTCAGGGTGCGTTTCATGGAAGAAGATCTGCTGACATGACAGGGTCTCCGGATCATTAGCCACGTCAATGCTGACCAAGGAAATCATGTTCTAGTAGGAAACGGTGATTTGTCTAAAATCAGGGCCGACAGATTGCCATTTCACCTGTGCTTATAAAACGCCTTAAAGGGTATCAATTTTTGTGGCAAGTTAACAAAGAAGTCTAGAAGCCAAAGAAGAGGTGGTGGATCAGACAGGAGTAACTGGAATATTACTTGTATTCTCCACTTTGTTCCATTCCTCCTTGAACAGAAAATAACCAACTTGGTGTCCCTAAGTTTTTAGAAACATTTATCCTTTGATTCTGTTGAGGAATGTGCTAGTTATGTCACAGGGAAGGCGGGTGTGAGAGGTAAAAAGATGAATAGTAAGGAGAAGAAGCGATTTGGAACTTAGATCCTACAGAAGAGAAGTTGAAGGAGTGCAGAGTCCTTTGCCTGAAAGAAGAGATGGACTTCTTACAACTCTTCTGTCAGAGCTGGGATTGGTGACTGTTTTTTGTAGACTCAGAGATGTAATAATCAAGGATATTATGTAAATACATGTATAACAAGAGAAAAAACAATTTCCATGACATTTTTCCTGATGAAATTCAATATATAATAATTGAGTACAGTCTTTAAAAATGCTGGCTTACCAATGAGAAGACTATAATTCTTTTTTGGAGTATACATTTTGCTTAATCGAGGTTACGAGTTAGCCTTTCCTATTCACAATGTGGTCACAAATACTCATCTGTGAAAACTGTCTTAGTATGTCTAAGCAGGTGCCGGGCCTCACTCAGTCCACGGGCCAGGGTTTTCCGGCCTCCTGTTTTGGATCCTTTTATACCTCTGGGAAATGGTGATTCTCAGCCTCAATTAAATCAAAGGAATTAAATGAAGGAAAATGATCATAAATGTCAGTGATAGGAACCAATGTTGTAGCTTAGAAACTGGAACCACTGTAGGCACTGGCTGTGGGGAATTGATGAACGTTTATGATCTCTGAATTTAGATTAAAAAGAAATCTCCTAAAAACCCATATACTCCATGCTGTATCCAGACAATATTTATTTTTTCTAGATGATGATTTTACAAGCGCCAGTTCTTACGTTTTTTTCCCTTTCCAGGTTTGTAAACTTGGTTTTCTTAATATCCAAATTAAATTTCACCTGTTAGTAAGGTCTGGGCCCCAAAGTGAACAGCCTGTTCTGAGTTAAGATCCTTTGATGTCTATGAAGTGACACTGAATCTGCCGGGGCATTGATGCTGGACTTTCCACCTTCCAGAACTATGAAAAATACAAGTTGCTTACAAGCCACTCAGTTTGGGATATTTTTTGTGATAACAGCCCAAACATACTAGAATGTAATAAGGTACTTTCCAATAAAACAATGCACTTACAAATACATTACCTAGATTTAAAAATTTCTTTTATTGAAAAGTAAAACTCCATCATAAGGTACCATCATTTAGCGCGGGTGAGACTAAAATTACCTTCCTCTAACCCGGGGAGTTGTATTTACTGCTGAATCAGGTTGTGTTATGTAAACACCACTGCTTTTGGCTGGTTGGCTTCCTAAAAGGAAGGCTTCAGCTTTCATCCCGATAAGCCAAGATCAATTGTGTAAGCATTTTCCAGGCACTTCTGAGCATCACAACTGTTATATTTATTGGTAGGAAGGAAAACTCAGCAAAAACATATAGGACTTGCATTAATGTTCTAATCAAGGCGGAAACAATTTTGAAAAGAAGCAAAGCGTTCAAAATATGTTTGTTTTTCTTCCTTGAACGTTAACTGTGTTCAGTTTACATAAAATGTAGTATCTTTGCTCATCCTGGTAGGTGTGACTTTTATAAGGTACACTGTAAAGCAAGTCAGATCCTCAAAGGATTAGTAGGGACAACACAAGGTGTGCACTGAGTCTTTCTTTTTCATTTTTTTTTTTTTTTTGTTGTTCCTTCTTACCATTTGGTAGCCTCTCTCTCTATCTGTAGCTCAAAAGAAAGGAGCCCAGGGAAGACTCTGCTTGCAAAGCTTTCAAGGAGGCAGACAGGACTGTTACCCTTCCCTTGTACCCTTCCCTCCAGTTTTGTGGGTCATTGTACTGGTAATATATGACAAGACCCTGGGAGAATCCCAGCCCTTTTTGTTGCTGATAATATGAAGATTCTTCCTTTTATTTTAATATGGGTGATGGGATTGGAGGGGAAAGAGGGAACTTGTTCCCTAACACCGGCCCTGGAAAGGAATTTTAATGACTCATCGATACCCAGGACACATCCGCAGTCTTCCCAGCATCTCTGGCGCTTTCTTGCTATTCCTTTTGGATTGGTCTAGCTTCCTTGGGGGAATTGAAACACATAATCAATGTTTTACCGATGTTGTGCATTTTCTTTTCTTTTCTCTTTCTTTTTGAGATAGTATCTCACTCAGTCACCCTGGGTAGAGTACTGTGGAGTCACAGCTCACAGCAACCTCCAACTCTTAGGTTCAAGGATCCTCCTGCCTCAGCCTCTCAAGTAGCTGGGAGTAAAGGCACCCACCAAACACCCAGCTCAGTTTTTCTATTTTTAGTAGAGATAAGTTCTCACTCTTGCTCTGGCTGGCCTCCCAACTCCTGAGCTCAAACAATCCACCTGCCTCAGCCTCCGTGAGTGCTAGGATGACAGGTGTGAGCCTCCACTCCTGGCCCCAGTGCTGTGGTTTGAGTTTCTGTTCCCTCCAAAACTCATGTTGAAATTTGATCCCCAATGTGGTAGTGTTGAGAGGTGGCGCCTTTAAGAGGCAGAGTCCTCATGAATGGATTAGCACAGTCATGGATTAATGGACTGATGGGCTATCATGGGGGCAGGACTGGGACCTCTCACCAGCTGGTGCCCTGTGTTGTCTTGGAATGTTACAGAGTCCCTACCAGCAAGTAGACCCTCACCAGGTGCAATTCCTCAACCTTGGACTTCTCAGTCCCCATAATTGTGAGAAATTAATTCCTTTTCTTCATAAATTACCCAGTTTCAGGTTTCTGTCTGATTTCCATGCCAGTTATTCAAGAACTCTGTGTAGGAACTTAGGAGAATATCATGGCTTTTACTTTTAAAAATTCATCCAAAACAAATTGGAAAGGAAAATGGTTATCAATTTTTCTAGCAGTTTTCCAAAATGAAAAGAGTAAGTTCTTATACATGAATTGTGAAGTAATATTTTCTCCCAAGACAAAGTGGATGTGGTAATATGATGAAAGCATGGACCCATCAAGGAATGTAAAATCCTCACTGTGACTAGCGATCCAGCTGCTTAAATTTAAAATTTGGATAAAAGCTGAAGCAACTTCCTTTGTTTCTTTAAATATTGCCTTTTTTCTTTATCTTGTCTGATGTAGGCAAATGTGATCAGTACTCACACAAAGAATTTGTCATTTAAGAAAAAAAACTTAACATATCTTTCAGAAGCTCGAAACCATTTTTCTACACTTGTAAAGAAAATACAAATATGAGGAGGACTTAATGTTTGATATTGTATAAATTTCTTGGAAACCACTTTGATGGTCCTTGGTATTGTAAATGACCAAGGTTAAAGAAAGGAATAAAAACACTCCTCTAGATTTAAACCACCCCAAGGTCAGAATTATAATGCAAATACGTACAACCAGAGGCTCATCCATTTCAGTACCTCAGTAGTGAAGCATAATTGAGATTTTAGGATCGCTTAGCAGCAAGCTCTCTGCCATTTGTGTATCACCATGTTCCTTCTACATGTAAACATATTTTTATCAACTTGTAAGAAAACACAGTTTTAATAAACTGAGTACTAAAGGTAAACAAGCTATAGGATTCACAATGGTAACGAACCCAAACAACGGGAATACTTACGGTTGCACTTCTTCTGGACAAACCTAAGCTTGCAGGCTGTTCTGTAGGTGGAGAGTCGGATGCGATCCAGATCTTGAGCCCCTAGTGGGGGAAAAGCACACATATGGTATGCCATGTGTGTGGAAATACAAATAAACCCACTGCTGACATAATCCTCTTGGCGAGATTTCGTTTCCTATTTTTATTAGAATATAAATACAACTTTAAGACTTGAAAAGGTCTGTCCCATATTCCTCGGGTCCATGGGAGGTCAGGTTGGTGAGCCCGTTCACAGACCAAGGAACACCATCTCATCCTCCTTGATTCTGCCTCATCTGAGAACAGTCTGCTCAAGCTGTGAAGTGGAGTTCACTGACTGCACCAGACACTAACCTCAGATGATTATTTTATTAAAACACAGCTGTTAGGTGACACATACTCAAAGTTGGACATCTTCTCCTTGTGACTTTAAGGTTAATTGCTTTTAGAAACCTCATCTGGAAGACAGGGTTGATGAGAATAGTAGAACTCATTTCATAGGATCATTGTAAAAATGAATGAGTGAATATACCTAACGCACTTAGAGCGCTGGCAGGTGAGTGCTGTGTGCTCGTTATTCTTACTAATACCTCTCCTGCGATTCTTCCAGTCAGTCTCAGAGAAGAGTCCTTTCTAAAAACCACCTCTCTCTACTCTTTCTTATACTGCGGCTTCCCGTTCCCCCCAAGGCAGAGGGAACACGTTCCCATATTCCGGAATTGCTCTCTTTATTCTACCCTTCCATTGAGGAAAGAAGCATCACTCCTGATGCCCACAACACGATGTCTGAGAGCCCCACTCAGAATTCAAGCCCCCTCTGCAGGCACTTCCAGCTTTCTACCTGACAATATTTCCACTGCTCCAGCACAGAATCTCTGCTGGGTTTGGCCAGGCGCTTCACAATCCTCCACAGACAGGCTGCTTGTTGTACTAGCACCTGACCTCCTAGTATTTCTCTTGTTCTTTGATTGAGCTAATCTCTGGACTGGGTCTAGATTACAGCAGACTTCCAACTAATGCCTGCTTTTCTCTGCTGCTATGTATTTGCCTTTCTTCAAGCCCATGCTATGCTTCACAACAGGTATAAAGACGCACAGCTATACTGTGATATGGATTGAACTTTCTCTTTACCAGTGATACACTAGTAAAATGTGTTCCATGAATGCTTCAGAATAAAATAGAGAAGCAGATAAATGAACCTGCCTGGAAGCAATTATATTAGGAGGCCAATGACATGCTCTCCCAATGAAACTCTGGATGAATTAGCAAATATCCCTCCCCGAGAGCATTTAACAGTCCTCAACTCAAACGGATCCCTTTAGAGTCACGTAAAATGTTATCAGTAGTCCTAATACTTTGTGGTTCTATGAAGCAGATTATTAAACATCCATTCTCAGAAAGCTTATTACTTGACAAACAGGCTCCTTGCTACTGAGCATGTGCAGGATCAGAGAGGTGGGATCTACCCTCAACCGATGCAGGAATTCCCTTAGAAATGTTCTCAAGAGATGAACGTTTAGCCAACGGCCCTGTAGGATTTGCAATGACAGGGAAGGTTACGAGTTAGTGAAAAATAAATGGACAGGCAACTTTAATTCTGTCACTTCCTAGTTGTGTGAACTTAAACAAGATTTCAGGTGGCATCTCAGCAGCCTCATGTATAAAATGAGAAAAACATATCAAGTCTTGACTTCTGCACCGAATACATTCATGATTATTTAATAAACGGGCCTCCTTAAAAACCTTCCTGTACTATTTCTGAAAAACAATATGTGCTACACATTTCTTTAATATATTCGAGCTTTAATTTGCCTCCCTGTAACGTCAGCCTATTTGATCTAGTTTCCCCTCGGGGGCCACATCATCTTTTCTCCCTGCCACTAGATAATTCACTTTTCAAATATTAGGAAGCAGCTACCAGATCATTACTAGCATCTTCATTATCATCTGGAAATTATGTCCCAGACCCCCTGTCATCACAGACTTTACAGTTTAGCTGGGAAGGTAGCCTCTCCTTGACTTCCTTAGGTAAAAGATGTTCAACTGCACAGCCATTTGGGGTAGAGAGTCTACCTTGAAGTCTGGCAGCTGATAGGGCTTCAATACACGGGAGCTGCTATTATTATTTTCATTATCATCAAACACTGTTTTGTGACCCTTAGACATTCTAGCCTCTCTGTTCTATGGCTGGCTAATACTTCTTTAAAACATGTCCAAAAATTAACCTGAGTGCCACAGCTTATGGCCTATTTGTATAGAATATATAGAAAGCAATTATTAGCAGCTTTGATAAAGATATTTAACTAATGCATCTTTTTTTAATAGATGGATCATTCTTCTGGCTCTTATGAAGTTTGCAGTTCATTAAAAACGTGATTTTAAATAATCTTATGTGTTTCTATGTAAGTTAGATCTTTTCTATCTCCTATTGCTATTCAAGTGCTTAAGTATTTGGGGGCTCAGGGTAGGGCTTCATATTTACCTGGTAAGTTTTTTGTATTTTTTTAGCTTACGCTTTGAGCATTTATGCAATCTTTTAAAATTCTTATCATCACTGGAATCTCACTTCAAAAATCGTTCCCAATTTCATGGCATCTATACATCTGTGAGGCTTCTGTGGGAGATGAGCTCTCTAGGACACCAGGTCATCAGAGACAAAGAGATGATCAGAAATACTGAATGCTACATCCTCCTTCCCCCTGGATGAGGATGTACTTTTATTGGCGCTGAGTTTGGCTCAACCATCAGGAGAGTCTCAGTATCTGTAAATAATCCCTTCAAAGAAACATTAGGGGGAGAGATGCTTTGTGCAAATTCTTCAAGAATAATGAGTTAAGCTCCAGATATAAAAGGATTATGATGTACCACACAGGTAAGTTTTTTAGTTCCTGCAAGACCCTACCCTCTGAGAACAGTAACCCTGACAGCTCGGCACCTCCCTCCCATAGAGTTCTCGGGGGCAACCTGGCAAAGGTGCATCTCTACAAGACGTAGTGAAGGGGGATGTAGGGAGGATGCTGATGCTTTGGCCCAGGAGTACACTGGCTGCTCTCCCTCGTCCTATCTCTATGGGACATCACTGACCCTGTGTTTTGTTCTAGAATGTGGAAGGGGTACATAGGTCTGTAAATGTTTTCTATTTGTGTAAGTTCTTCCTGGCTGATGACTTAAGTCCTGAATATTAGAAGAGATGTGGTGAGCAATACAATTTCGCTTTCCAGATATGGAAACTGGCTTGCATGCCGTGTCAACTGCAGGATCCATCCATAAAGGCACCGTAAGCTGAGCTGTGTTTTCTGGGTGTGCTTTTCACTCCTTTATCTACCTGTTTACAATAAATTTCTTTTTCTTTTTCTTGGCCCCAACAAACCATGAGCTTAATTCAGCTTTACATGTGTGTAAAGCTTTTCTTAGAGTTTTATAAACCCCTACGTTGAAATTAGTTGCCTGTCTTGTATGTCTTCATCACTGATTAAAACTAAGACCCTGAACAGGGCTTGTTGTTACACTACCAGAGGCCTTCCTCCAGTTCACTGACCATCAGTTGTTCCTCTAGGCATGGTCATGAGACCACCCACTGGATGGTGACCCAGCCCACATTTCTCCAACACATGCACGGTCCAGGAGCTTTTGTCAGTATCTTGTTGAAATTAAGGTTAATTTTTATCTGACAGTATTTTCCTGATCTAGAAGTCTGATAATCTTATTGAAAAGTGAAATTAGCGGACGGCACCTCTGGCTCAAAGGAATAGGGTGCTGGCCCCATAAGGTGGTAGTTTCAAACCTAGCTCCAGCCAAAAACTGCAAAAAAAATTAGCTGGGTTAATCTCTTCATTAAAAAGATGGAATTTAAATAAATGGATAAGAAAATAAAGTCACTAAAGCAATCCTTATTTTTAATACATTGATGTGTCTATGATTACCAATGTATTTTGTCCATAATCTGGAGAAAAATCCATCCTATCACAAAACCTACACCAAGTTCATCCCCTAGCCTCTAAAGAATACATAATTTTTATTTTTAATAAAAAAGAGTATAGAATTCTCCCAATACCTTTCTCTTGTAATTTCCTCTTTATTATTTTTCAAAATAATAGATAGTAGGGGTGGTGGTGGTTTTTTAAAATATTATGTCACTAGGATATAATTCTTTAAAATCTTGAAAATTCTTTAAATTTGTGAATTCTCTAAATTCTTGAAAATTTAACTAACTTGAACAATTTCTTACATTTGCTTCATTTTAAGACTGTGGGGCTGGAATATACAATTAATGACAGAGGTAAATTTTGTTTTTCCTACTTCTGAATATATTTGAAATTTTTCATCATAAAATGAAAGGCAACTTAGGACTGTTGTACCAGCCCCTGAACTCTCTTATACCCATGTCATAGTTTGAAGAAAGTAATAAATATGAAAGCAAAGATGCGGTTAAGAAATTCTGACTGTTCATACTGTTATCAGCAGTAAGTCTTGTTTTTCATTCTTTAGCCCTTCTTTTAAAGACTCTCTCTGCCTCCTTTCTCGCTCTTATCCTTCCATCCTTTCCTCCCTCCCGCAATTCCTTCCTCCCAGTTTCCCCCATCTATTCATTAATCAAGTCAGCCAACCAGTCCTACCCAACTTTTGCCTTTATCTTATTACAGTCTAAAGGTTTTCACACAGTTCTTGTATGGTTTGTGCCTTCTGTGTTCTGATAAGCTCATTCTGAAACTGTCAGTATAGACATTTAGATTCTTAAATGCCTCATTCATGTAAAAAATACACTCATCAAAAGTTTAAGAATAAAAATGAAGCCTATGAATTCTCTATCTTTCTCATGCTTGATGATTTTGTGGTTATGTGTGTGTGTGAGAAAGAGAGAGATAAAAAGAAAGGGAGATAGAGACAGAGTGAGAAAGGGGGAGAGAGAGGGAGGTTGAGAGGGAGTTTAAAGAGTTTAGGGGTCAAGAATGATTCCTACTTTTGGCAACTGAATGGGATGGAATGTCCTTTGCTGAGCTAAGGTACAAACAGGGAAGGACAGGTTTGTAGATGAGTGAGGACAGATTTCCGTTTGGGGCTAATGAGTTTGAGTTGCTTGTGGGATGTTCAAGTGGAGATGTCCAGTAAGCAATTGGGTATATGGATATGGAGCTCTTGACTAGAGCCATAATACATTCCACGGTTCACCAAGAGACCTGTAAAATGTAGCAGTGTGTTTGCACCAAGACTGAGAATATGTTTCCAAGGGAAGACTGTGTACACAAGTAGGGCTGTTCTACACTCTAGGTGACAAAATGAGGCACAGATTGGGAACAGGAACTTGCTCCACACTTCTTCCTCCACACAGCTGCCTGGCCTGTTCAGAGACTCTGTGGCTTTGAGAAGACTGGCAGGCAGTGACCTCGGCAAGGATATCGGCTTCTTTAAAATGGGTACTATTGGTGGAACTAATAATGAGCCCCTCCCTCCACTTCATCTCTAGAAGACTTGACAACAAGGGGGCAAGGCTGGAAGAGATGTAGAGTTTATGTGCTGACTGTTCACAATACACTGGCTCATGAGACTACAGGAGGTGTTCTCTGGGGTTCCCTGGACACTTGGGAGCCATAGACATAAAGGTGAAGCTTTGGGGGTAAGGAAAATTGTATATGGAAAAAACTGGTCAAAACCAAAACTTTTATAAATCTAACTTTAGTGTCTGGAGGATACTAAAGGATAGAAAAACAAAAGTAGAGTGGCTAGAAAAAAATGAGCCCAGGCTAGGGTGCTGACAGAAGAGTTTCCAGGGTGGTGGTCAATGACAGTAACATGGGAAACAGAACAAGGAGCAGGAGGAAGGAAGAAGCACGTGAACAGTCACCGTATCCACCATGGCCCCTGGGGGTGGGCTCACTTGGGCCATTTTTTCTGAATTTTTGAAAGCAGTGTTCTTAAAACTTATAATGGACACTTTAAAAGCAAGCTCTAAGCTCCATCCAAATTGTTTCATTTCAACCACAGCCAAAACATTCAAGAAGAAACAAACATTTCAGCGGTGTTTGCTGAAAAGCTCCATTTGCCTTCCGTAGATATTAGGTCTTTCTTTTGCTCAGAGGCCAATGGCATCACTCTATTTTCTCCCAAAGACCTTTTCTTATTTTGTCAGGCAGTCTTTCATGTTTTCTAAGAGTGTTTGCAATCACTTCCATTCTATTAAAACCTGCCCACCCTGTGCCATTTTACACACAAAAAAGTGTGCTTTTAAACAAACATTGACTTAGCATCTAAGATGAATGGATTTGAAGGGACATGTCCAGCAACTTTCCCTACAAGGGAGTTGATGGTAGTGGCAGGCAAGGACATGTTCACTATCACACACGGAAGAGTAAATGTGTTCAGAGCACAGAACGACAGAAGACAAGGAGAGTGTAATTCCAAGAACACACCATGTATTCTGCTTTCAGTCCAATACACTTATTTGAGCCGATAAACTTATCTGATGGCTGAAAAGGCCAACACTGAGGATGACATTTACATCTCACTAGAGTTGTTCAGCTTTAATACAAGGTACTACATAAAGCGATAGAGCATTATAGCAAAGAGAATTTTGGGGTAAGGACAACTTGCTCAGAATTTCTTAAATCAAGGTAGGCTGCCACCCTGTTTTTTATGGAAGGTTAGTCTTTTTCTGCTTATCTGTGAGTGTGTGCTTCTTTAATTTCATTTCTCTCCGGTTTCCTCCTGCTTTTGCTGCTGTGGGAATGAGCTCAGAGTAAATGCTTAACACACAAGTGCTGCAATCACTTGAATTTGCCAAACTTTCTTATCAATTGTTCTCCTTTTCAATCGCTCCCTGCTCTTTGGCCTTTGAAAGGCCAAGAGGGCTTTAACATTCCCCTTCAACTTGTCTAACTTTTGACAGGCTTCTCCTTGGCTCTGCAGGTGTCTGGTCTCCTTTTCTTAGAGCACTTACATTAAAAAAGAGGGAGAGTAAACGACGGACCACACCTATGGAGCATGTTGCAAGGGTACAAGTCAAATCTGTCAAGTGTAGAACATAAGTGTCTTAACACAGTAATCAAGTAAATGAGGCAAAAGCTATGTTGATTGGTTTGATGTAATCACATTAGATTGTATAAAAAAATCAACACATTGTACCCTACATATGCATAAATGTATTCATGATCTATGTGTATATAACTCAATAATAATAAAAAATTTCCATAGAAGAAAACTTAGAAAACTTTCTCTCTGTGCCTCTGTTCAGATGTAAATCTCTAAATCACTTGCTAGTTTCACAACTGAAGAATCTTTTCTACAAGAACCTGGGAACCAGCACTTTGAAATGCAATGATTGTGAGAGTTATCACCCAACCACCCAGTCTCTGTGGGAGGGCAGGAGCCTAACTCTTTAACTGCAACGATTAGCAAATGGATGGCCTAATCACGTGGGCTAATTTCTCACCAGTAAATATTTTGTAATGACTATTTTGTAATTAAAGGTACATTTATATGCAATTTCTCATTTTCCTTACATAGCTTGACTTTAGGGGCGACTTTTGGGACAACCTGCAGATACCACAGATTCCCGGAAAAAGTTAATTTTTCAAGTCTCCTCTGATAATAGCTTCCTTTTCTTTCTTTTCAGTCTTGCTGATAGAGCTGGGATACCCAGAAACTTTTCAATCACTTAACACTTCTCAGTGAGCTTTCCTGTCTATATAGCAATCTACCTATCAAAATCACTTCCTCCCTCTGAAACCAGCCAATTGTTTCTGCCTTTAGAATCCTCCTTAGTGTAGATCTAAACATATTGCTCAAACTAATGGACGAATAAAGGCAGGCACTTTTAGCAGTTTTTGTCAGCATCTGAGTTGACACACCCAATAAGAAAGGTCCCTATTTTTTTTTTTTTTTGTCTTGCTTATCTATTTTGATAACTAATCAGGAGCCCTCATAAAACTATTTAATAAGACCACATGACATCACCATAAAGTTTCTATGAAAAGAAAGCTATGATTTGGGAAATGAATGCATGGTTTTCCTAAATCTCTCTCACTTGAAGAAACATTTTGAGATGTTTTCTATGGCTATAAAAATTACATCAAGCTTTCTTTGAGTTGGGCAATTTTAATTTAATAGACATTTGCAATGTACGTCTGTGCCAGGCACTGCATCAGGTGCAGAAAACAATGAGATACTTAAACTCGGCAAGTATTTACAAAATCTTTCACACTTTTCTAATTCTTACAGTATGCTGGCTGATAAAATCTTTAGTGTTACAATGGTAAGTTCAAAAAATTTCCCCAGATTCTATTACTTTTTTATAGTAAATGTGAATATGTATTTTTCTATGTTTGATAAGATGTTGGCTGGTGATATACTCTTCAGCCAAAGAACCTGTGTTGTGGGAGGATGTGTGCCATTGCTCTAGATTTTTAGTTTAGATGGTAGGTGGTCACTAGGCTCCTTGATCTGTTAGATTCATATCTACAAAAACAAGCCCGTTTGATTCCAGTTAGTGACCTTGCCTCAAGTGAAGACACTATACCCAACATGGCCTATGAAACTGGAAGATCTTGGTTAGGCACAAACTTGCTGGGCACATGTCTAAAAATGGAAAAAGCAAAGAGTAGAATTGAGATTCCCCACATCAAGTTTAATTTTCTTTCCTTTTTGTTAGTTCTAATACAGTCTTGGTGCCCCTAGATTATGGGGAAATGATAAAGGAAAATATGAATCTTCTTATCTGGGACTTTCCTTTATCTGCTCTCACCCTCATCCTTGCCAATCACTTCCACTCTTTAGTAGAAATCTAATTTTGCCTACGGCCGTCTTGGGGGAAAAGGCTTACAACTCACCCCTCATCCTTATTCCTCATGTAGGAAGGAGAGATAAAAAGACAATAAGAGAATTATACTTTTTTCTTTATCAAATTTAATTTGAGATGTGTGTTTTCTCCCCAATGTCAAGTTCTTCTTGAATAAGAAATGTGGGCTATAAAGGAGAAACTACCTAATCAATTACTTAGACAGCAACCATGCTCGTACATCAGCCAATGGCCTTTATTGACAGATGCTCCCCTGGAGTCAGTAAATATTATCTTAGTTTAGTTTCCATTGTGTAACAAGTCACCCCAGAGCCCTTTTTTCCCTTTTCCTTCATACTAAAAAAGAAAACTGATTTGTAGGACAGATGAGGTTCAAATGAACACTTCCAGTTTAGTCCAGTAATCACACCTAACTCATTCCCATCAGAACATATGTTATTTTGCAGGGAAGACAGTCAATGTTTCACTTCACAAATATTACTCAGTGTTTAGAATATGACGGCCACTGTCACAGTGCAGGGGATTCAGAAAGACTTTAAAGTTCAAGGAACTGTACTAATGTTAACACTGTAACACTTCCTAAGTATCTCACGTATGTATATGTGTGAACATACATACATAGGTCCATAAACTTTTTCTTTGACATAAAATACACAGTCTAGAAGCAAATTAGGACGTATCATTGACTAATTTAACTTTTGCTCAGTAGGAGACAAAAGTGGCCAAACATACACTTTATGTAAGGAAGTTACGATTTTAAGGCAAAGTATAAATGTCGGAAAGATAAAGTGGCTATTTCTAGCCTTTCCACGAGTAATGAATGGAGCCTATGGGACGTCCCTTTAGAGTCCCATACTTACTCATCTCTGCAAACAGCTGTCTTCTTTCTGCCATGGTATTTCCTCTTTTCCCACTATCTTCAATCATTCTGTGAGACAAAATGGTTACAAAATATGTCATCTTCATGCTAATGAGGAAAGCAGCCATTGCTATGTAAACACGCTTGCTGTATTTGTGCACAAACAGAGAGAAAACCTATTTAAAACTGTACATTTTAAAAATACAGCTTTACTTTTAGTAATCTAAATTGCTATACATATTTTTCTCTATATAACATTACTATAGTTGTTGGAGGGGTATAAAGTTTTTGTTTTCTAACATAAAAACAACTACAATAGCGAACGACCTTGCGCTGTAACTATACACAGCCATCTGCCATCTGGTAGGTGATTGATTTCACACATAGTTTCTTTTGCAGATTTGGGAATACCTACGAAGATGATAGAGCAGATTATTATGAATCCCATTCGATAGATGATAAGACCCAAGTTTTATCATCTGGGTGAATTAAAGGTAGTATACATCTGGCCTCTAAGACCAGTATGCCTTCTACCTCATTCTGTTGACAATTTTCCCTTGTACAACCAAAACTTCAATTTAGAAACAAATAATTTCTTAAATATTCATTAAGTTGAGGGTTTAAAACTTATAACAGCTTTCCTATACATAATAATTTCATGCAAGGTGGCAGGTTCATATTTCTTTCCTTAACCATACTATTTATGCAGTGGAACTATTTTTAAAAATATTATCACACTGCCAACAGTTAAGATTGATTGATTGATTTTTTATTTTTGAGACAGAGTCTCACTTTGTCACCGTTAGTACAGTGCCATGATGTCACAGCTCACAGCACCCTCATACTCTTGGGCTTAAGTGATATTCTTGCCTCAGCCTTCCAAGTAGCTGGCACTACAGGCACCCGCCACAATGCCCAGCTATTTTTGTTGTTGTTGTTGTTGTTGTTGTAGTTGTTATTGTTGTTTAGCAGGTCTGGGCCAGGTTCGAACCCATCAGCCCTGGTGTATGTGGCCGGCACCCTAATCACTGAGCATGGGTGCTGAGCCAGTTGAGACTGCTTTAAATGAAAATTTAAAAAGATATGAAAAGTTGAAATTTAGCTTGAGGACAAGTTAATTGAAATGTTGTTTAGTCAACATTTGGACCAAATATCAAGAGTTTTTGACGTTGATGGATTAGATTTTTAATTATATCTAATTAAACTTCTAAAAGCTAAAGTTTCTTCTCTCAAAATATATCATTTTAATCTAGGGACAGCTTGATTATTTATCGCAGCTCAATTTACAATTGCCAAGATTTGGAATCAGCCCCAATTTTTATCGTCTCATGAATGGATTAATAAACTGTGGTATATATACATATATATTAATAAACTCTCTCTCTATAGAGAGACACACACACCATGGAATATTATTCAGCCATAAAAAGATGCAGACTTTATATCTTTTATATTAACCAAGATAGAGTTGGAAACATTCTCTTTAGTAAAGTATCATAAGACTTGAAAAGTAAGTATCCAATGTATTCAAAGTATTAATATGAAGCCAGCAGGTGAATAAATACACACCCACACAAAAGAAAAACTGAATTTAATTCAAACTGGGGGCAGAAGGACTGGCATGATCTTACCTAATGGCCACAATGTAAGGGTATACGGCACCTCCTGGGTGAGGGGCACAACTACAACAGGGACCTCACCTAACAAAAGCGAACATTTAACCTAATCACTTGTACCCTCCTACTAATCTGAAATTTAAGAAATCCCTAAAGCTTCTTCTCCCACATACACCTGTGCATGTATAATGGGGCCCCCATCCACACACCAATTCACTTTGTTTTTGATTCTCAGGCCTAGTAACCCAAGGCATAGCTGCCTGAGTTTTTTGCCTGTCTTTTGATGGGCCCTGCTCTTGCTCAAACCTATGTCTTTGTCCACGCCTTTTTAAAAAATGGGATTGCCCTCCCTCTATGTCGAGTTAACTTGTTAACGTGTAGTCACTGTTCAGGTCTCAGTGGTTTAGCTCCACTCTCTCCAGGATCTTCTGCTGAAACTTCCCCCAACTCTCTATGACTGCCTAGACCCAGTACCTTTCCTCTGAACTGCCACAGTGTACAATGACTTTCTCTCAGTTCTGAGCATCCACTCAACAAAGAACATTCTCATCACAAAAAATAAGGTGGTGAGGTGATGGGTATGTCAATTAGCTTGACTGAGTAGCTCTATGACGTATACATAGCTCAAAACATCACACTGTACCCTATAAATACACACAATTGTTATTTCCCAATTAACAATGAACAAATAAGAACAAAATAAGACTTTACTGAGTGCCTTTCATACTCCAGAAATTGCACTATGCTCTGAGTGTCCAGTTGTGATCAAGTCACAGTGCCCGTCCTCAAGATGCTTACAGCACAGCAGTAGAAATTCAAGGGCATAAAAGCAATTAAGATACGATTACATAATGAATGAAAGCCACAGTGGTGGAGAGGAAGCTGTGAACATGAGAGAGGCCAATTCTCTGGGGATACATTGAACAGAACTACTAGCAGATGATTGCTCAGAAGGTCACGAGCTGGGCAGAAAAGGACTCAACTGAGGGCAAAAGACAAATTAGTGGTGAAAATGATGTCATGTTGCCTCCCTAGTTGCTTCTATGAGCGAAGGATTATTTGCCCATTGCCAGAAAGGGAGAGAAGCACATGGAACAGCCTTGGTTTCTGGAGTCAAGAAAAGAGTGTGCACAGATTCACGATGGGTTAGATAATACCACCAGGGCCTGGCTTCAGTAACACGTGGAGGGAAGGAGCATTGTTAATGGAATTTCCTCATCTGGGTAACAAGCACTGCTGAGCATGGTCAAACAGGTTCTTTTAATCAGGTTTTAAATATGCAGATGTAGTTGATAAATAGATGCGGAGAAAAATGCTCCTTTTCTGATTCATATAACTCCTTCTCCTTTACCCCGGAGGAAGCTGGTAGATAATAACTTGACATCCACAACATGGTCTGGATATAGCTTCCACATCTTACTTTAAGGGCTCAGAAGTAGATATGAGGTAATAAGAGACAAAAGGGATGGAACCAGTGATGTGTTCCTGAATCTGTCTATATCCTGGAACGAGATGAAAAGAACCATTAAAAATAAATCACAGAGACCGGCAGGCTGGAGACCTCTGATTAATAATGTCAGTGAGGTAAAGAGTGACACCTCCCCATATTCTTAGGCTATTTGGTTATAGCTTTCATATAAAAAGGTTTAAATTAGTTTCATAATAGGGGTGTGTACATTGGATATTTTTTCCTCCATTCTTGTGATACTTTGCTCAGAAGAATATGGGGAGGGGGAGGGAGAAGGGAGGGGGGAATGGGTGGAGGGAGGGAGTTTGGAGGGATTACTTCTGAGGTTTACCTTATAGGGGTACAGGTGAATCTTTCTAAGAGTAGAATGTGAATGTTTTAAAGCAATAACTGAGAAAATGACATGAAGGCTGTGTTGACCAGTTGATGGAAGTATTTCAGATTGCATGTGAAAACCCCACACTGTACCCTAGAAGTGCATTAATGTACATAGTTACCGTTCAATAAAAAAAAAAAAAAAAAAAAAAAAAAAAAAAAAGAGTGACACCTGAGCCCGGGGCACCTGCTGCTTGTACCACTCATTTCGCATTGTTGTGGCAACTCTTTTCCTGGTTGACTTTTGTTTGTCTCTCTGGAAGGTTTTTGAAGGCAGCAACTTCACAAATTATAGATTCTTCCCAGTGACCAGCAAAATCCAATCTATTGTATTAATAGTAAGTCCAATTTATTGGATTAATAAATGAAGAAGGGAAAAAGGAGGAAAACGAGAGGACTGTAAAGCCAAAGCTAAGTCTGCTTCCCGTGAGTTGAATTTTCAATTTATATTTCCCAAATCTGACTCATAGAAAAGTAAAATTCAAATGGTGCTGGTTTCAGAGATTAATTATTCGAAATAAGAAAAACTAATTTACATCACTTTATCTGATCTAGCACCATGTATTTTAAAGCAAAGTCACTATCTCATAAAATACAACTTAAAAAGATGGGCCCGACATTGATGACAATGTCTAGTCTATTCATCATTGTTTTGTTTAATTAACTCATAAACGAACCATCACAATAGGTACTAATTCTCACCTCTAAGTGGACTGTGTCCCTTATGAAGAAAAGAAGGTAAAAGTCAGTGGTGTGAAATAATACAAGTCACAGAATATAATTATAAATTTGAAAGAAAAATAGCACATCTCTCATTTTACCTCCAGTGTTTCCTGGGAAGTGGCACAGTTAGATAAAATTGAGAATACTCACTTATTAACCATTGATTATAGTCATTATATTAAAAATGGGGGTATGCTAGTTCACAGCTTACGTGAATTCAACAAAGGGATTCTTGAACAAAGTAAGCCCAAGAACCACATGGGCTGGGAGCACAGCTGTGGGCTCCTTGCTTTCTAATTTAACCCTGATGGATGGACTCTGAGATGTACAATGCTTACTACATTCTCGTTGCCTTTGGAAGAGAGAAGAGCACAACCTTCAGTAGGGAAAGTACCGTGTTCTTTTACAGAGGGAAGTTCTGCTTCCGAAATAATAGAAATTTCGGTATAGCAGGTGCCCAAAGTCATCTGGAGGAGATGAAGGGGGAAATCACCCACCTGTGATCACACTAATGTCCGTCCCAAGGCACGTGGCTCAGGGACAGGCCTAAAGTGGTCAGTTTCTGCCACTCCTTCATGGGGACAAGATGTTTACAACCTTAGAATTTACAAGATTACATCAATATCAAAAGGGTGAAAAGAACTAACAGTAATAAAAGGGTAATGAGTCCCTTTACTAGGGCTGAACACCACAAATTGTACAGGACACGTGTGGCTTTCACTTAAAAGAATCCATCCATTCATCTTATATAAGAAATATTCATAAAATTAGCTATCATCTGTCAGGCACACTGGTAGCTTCTCAAGGCCCAAAGATTAATAAGGCATCATCTTTGCCCATAGGAAGCTGGCAACTTTAGAAGGGGAAACAAATTTTTCTAACAAATA